AGTACACAACAAGTTTATAGATAAAGGTTTCTATAAAATTGAGCAAGAAGGGGATTTTCATAGAAACCTAATTCGAAGGGCTTTGGTTAGAATTGGGATAAAAATCTATCACCTTGTATTATCTTGGATTAAAAAAATCCAAGCTCTCTCTGATTCATTTCTTTTTTGGACTCCGCCGCACATCAAAACCCTAGAATCGTTCTCCCCTTCTCCTGCTAGTCTCCTCTTACCTATTCTCTTTCTCATTCATGCCTCACCTACCCCTTGGCCATTTCGAGTAGATCTGATAATTCGCTCTTCGAAAACGCAAAGGGATCTGACGATCCTCATTCTTGACTACCGATTTTAAGATTTGATTATGATTTTCGATCTGGGCATTTAAACTTTTGATTTTATTCTTGCGATTTGTGGCTTTGATTTTGAGGTATAATTTCTGGTCGAAACTTAAGGGGTGCATTTGATTTTGAGCTTCATTCTTCGATTTCAATCTTCGATCTTGTTGTTGTCAATTATCGAATAGGAGATTTATTTGGGGATTAATGTTGGGTTAGGGTCCTCAAGCTTCTTTCGATGGCTAGTCTGGGAGCCAGCTGTTCTTTCCTGCACACAAAGAACTCGTAAAGAGCCTGTAGTTGTGTTCTTTGGTTGTTCCACCGACGATCAAGTTAGTATATGAGCTTGAGTGAGAAAATGTGAGATGACGAAGATGATTTGAAAGGTGCTTGAAAATCCAGTGAGTTACCTTGAAAAGACAATGAGTTACCTTGAGCTACATGACTTTCTTTTATAGTGGATCAGAAGGGCAGATAGGTAACTTGAGCCGAGTCCAGGCAGACAGCTGACTCAACAGACAACTGATAGGTGTTGGCTGCTGGCGGAGATGTGTCATCCAGTAGTTTATTATGGGGAAGACAGCAGGTGTTTGGAGTTGACTGGATCCGATGAATCATAAAGACTATATGGGCTAGAGCAATGACAACTTTGTTAGGCCTGTTACTGTGAGAGTAGTCGTTTGTCGGTAGGGGGTTCGAGGACACACCGCCCCTCTAGCTATTCAATTGAAGGATGATAAACACAGCATCTCTAGTTGACTACGCAAGCTATCGGTTGGAGCAATAGGCCAAGTGCGAGTGCGCATAAGATCGATCTGGTGGGTAGGCCAACAAGTACCGCCTTTTTAGTCAGCTATGCAAGTTGTCGTCTTATGGCATCGGCCACATGTACAACTCAAGTTGTCAGGTTTTGGAATGATCGGATTAAGCATGAGGCAAATACACATCGGCTTACCAACAAAGATTAAGACTTAGTTAACTTCGAGCCTATAACAAATCCCAAGCTTTGGTTGGGAGGTTAGATTTTTAACCTTGATTTCGAGCTTGGACAGTTGAACTTTGATCTCCTTAATTACGTTAGTGCCTTTGCAATCGGAGATATAAATCAATAGTCCATTTTTTTTAAATTCATATTTGATCATGGATGGTTGTTTATCATGGATGCTTTGGTAGTCGAACTATGATTTTTTACATGCTAATTGTTCTTTATATGCTAATAATCTATTATAAATTTTGGTTTTTTTCTGATTTTGTTTGGGTTTTTTTCTAATACACGCCAACATCATGAAAGTTAACAATAATGTAGGCTATATTTATTATTGCAGCCACAATATATTATTCTATTTTATTTAAAAAATAAGAATGCTGAATTTTTTTTTTTGCATATTTATGTTGGCTTTGTATATTCAAGTGAATAGCTAAACTAACTAATTTATGAAAGTAAGTTCCCACTAAAATTCTTTATGAAGTGTGATGTGATCAAGGATGCATATTTAGATTTGTGGACATTTAATAATTTTATTTTAAGATTTCAATATATGAATTAATTATTTAATTATTTTTATATCTTGAATAAGTGGAAAAATTAAGTTTTTAACGGGTACTAATTTTAATAGATGTGGATGGATAACATAGATGAAGAACAATCAAAGAGGATGTGTGCTAATACAACTGTTTCTTCCGTGGTCACGATAATAACTTGTCTTTTGAGAATGCATGCTAAGCGCAAGATAATTTCTAACTGTACGAGGGAACAAAAGATTAAAAAATACATTGCAGATATGCTCACTTCAAGTGTGTATTGGAAGGCTATAGTGATAGTTGTTGATCTTATATTAGAATGAGACCGATGATGTTTTTTAAACTTGCAGAAATAGTGAAAGAAAATAATTTATTAAAGGATACAAGACATGTTCAACTCAAAAAACAACTCGCCATGTTCCTAAGTATATTGGGTCATACAACTAAAAATAGAATAATAAAGACCGAGTTTATAAGATCGGGAGAAATAGTTAGTAGATATTTCAATAAAGTCCTACAAGCAATGAATAAGATACGTGGTAGCTACATGAAGCAAGCTCCTAATGAAGTTCCTACGGAGATTGCAAACAATCCAAACTATTTTTACAAGTACAAGTACATGACATGCGGTTCACGATAATTAAAATAATACAACATATCGCTACAAAAATTGTAGAATATTTCCAAGCTAAGAGTTATTTTTTGACAAGTTTCAATTCTTTCTTCGGTCTCTTTGACTTTAAAAAATATTTATCTCCAAACTTATTTTCTTTGACAAATTGGTTTCCTTGGTTGCTTATTTCTCCTCCTTCATGAGCCCATTCAAAAAAATTACATTCTGTATTTGGGTATTTTGCACACTCTAATAATACCTCCCCTTATTTTTACCATACTTGCACACTTCCATAGGTATTTGGAGATTGCAACCGTACCAAACTTTAAAATTTTGAGGGCATTCTTTTGATATCATATTGATGGAAGAGATGAAACTTGTAAACTATGAGAATTCGATATAATGGTAAGAATGAGAGATGCATTTGCCCCATGAGCCATCAATCCACATTTATAGTCTTCAAGGCCTTGGAACTAGCTGTTGGAGTCATGATTTTTTTTTTTTTTTTGGATTTTGCCAAATGAGCAAGATTACCCCAACTTCTTACTTATTCATATTTTATCAACTAGTGAGCGATAAGTTTTTTAATGGTGTTGTCATCCATTTATTTTAAAAATTTCTCATTCCAAACCAAACAAAAGAATATGAGTTGGAGGGTTTCTATAAAGTTGAATTCTATATTTTCATGTTATAAAACAAATATAGAAAGATAAAAAAACGGATTTCAAAGTATTCTATGACAACAAAAAATTATCCTTAATTTTTTTGTAGATTAGGAAGAAATCCATAAAAAACACCATTTTCCTTCTATTCTTTTCCACTAGGGAACCAAACACCCCGTAGATAACTACCCGAGTTAAAGAATTAAAGTGGCTGTACGCTGTTCATCCCAACATCCAGTCCACTCCCTTTCCTAGCCTCCCCTGCTCCGCCGTCACACCGAGATTACGAAAATCCTATCCCCTCGCTCTCTAGTCTCTCTACTGGTTGGTATTACCACAGCATTTCGAGTAGTTTGGTTGATTTCCTAAAAACCAAGAAATGGAAATGAAAAGATGAAAAATCTCAAAAAGTACAATTTCATCCATTTTCATCCCTAAAACTCACCCACAACATTCAATAAAATATTATTTTCATCCAACAACTCATTCACAATATCTAATAAAATATTATTTTTATCCAACTCATCCACCACATCTAATAAAATATTATTTTCATCCACAACATTACTCAACTCATCTCATCTCATCATTTCAAATCACTCACATCATCCTATAAGATGGTGATAACTCATCTCATCTCATTAACATTTCATTTCCACTCATTTCCTCCCAAAAAGCTAGGAAAACGATTTCCTTAAGTGTGAGTCACATTATTCAATAATATAATGACAACTTATCTCATCTCATCTATTTTTTTTATTTTTAAGAATGAACCAAACAAAAAAAAACAACATATTACATGAAATATGTTTCTTATAATTCATTTCCTTATTTTTTTCGCCAACCAAACAACATCAAAACAAGTTTTCTTAAAAAATCACTCACATCATCCAATAATAAGGTGATAACTAACATCATCTCATCTCCAATTCTTTGATTTTCTTCTTTTTTTAGCCAACCAAACATTCCCAATTTTTCTTAGACTATGTGCAGCAGGAAGGGAAAGTGACAATTTTTGCATGCAGCAGCTAGGGAAGAGGGTAGGGAAAATTTTAAACTTGTGCAGATGGGGAAAAATTTCCCTTCGGTGAAATTTCATGAAAAGCAAATGAATGGGTCCCACATAATTAATATATGAAATAAGAAGGATGAGTGAATAAATATGGTGGGGTATATGTTGGTGTGATGTGGTATTGGTGGGTCCCAAATAAAGTAAAAATGTTTATGAAAAACTAGCTGCTGCAGAGTTGATAGAGAAATGAGTATTATTGAATTATGTGGTGGGAGAATAAAGTGATGTGGCAGGAGAGAGAGGGTAAAAATTTGCCTACCTGCTGGAGATGGTCTTAGAAATAGTTTTCTATTTCTTTGATTTCCCTACTTTTTCAGGCAAACAAACAGCCCCTAAACTGCCATCGGCGAGACACCAAACCGCATCACAGATATCATTTCCGCCCATTTTTAAATCAGGGACCACAACAATTTCACTCACCATCACCACGCGATCAAGATCAAACGGTCGAAATTCGTGCCTGATTCCTCACCGCGCTCGTCTTTTTCGATAGAAACCCTAGATCGAGCCATCGAAATCCATCGGTTCTTCCGAATTCATTCCTTGATCAGCGATGAAAGCATCATCCAACGATGAGAATGCTCGCGAGATATGAGAAGCACAAGATTTTGCGAGGGATTGTAGAGGGAGAGGGAATTGAGGAGGAGGAGGTTGCCGGAGCGGCGGAGATCGGTTCTAGGGTTTTTCCGTTGAGATCACCTCCACAATCTCCGGCGTCTATGCCGTTGCGGTGGTCGACAAGAGTGTTTGACTCCAGGCAGCAACAGCGCTCCGTCACCGGCGA